CTGGCCTTCCCCCACACACCCTGGTATCCTCTGTGAACCGCCCTGAGCACCGGGATGCAATTACATCAGCACCGTGTCATTCCTTCAGAGCTGTCTGCATCCCTCCGTCCTTTGCTTATCCAATCCTTTCTCCAGACTCTGTTCTTCTTAAAGTCGGTTGCCCGAGATCCCTCTTCAGTAAATCTCAGGGCTCTGAAAGAAAGGTGGCTTTGATGTGTTGAAGCTCACTGCAGTCTACTGTTTCTCATTCATTCATTTCACAAGGATCCTTATTCTTTGTTCTAATGTATTATTTTTTGGTGAGTCTTCGTCTGCGATGGCTGGACCAATTCAATTCAGTGTGATGCTGACAGTAGACCGAGAAGAACAGCACCGGAATGAACAGTGGTGATAGTAATGTATTAGGACGGTGAGAGCCAGGGTGATTTTAAAAAGAACTAATTTTGTTGGGGGCTTTTACAGGTCTCATCACAATAGGTTGACATCATCATTTTCAAAACATTTTCTTTCTACTTGAGCCCTTGGTATCAGCTCATTTCCCCCATGCCCCACTTAATGAACCCTTGATAATTTATAAATTAATATTTTTTTCATGTCTTACACCGACCACTGTCTCCCTTGACCCACGTTTCTGTTTTTTGGCCACATGGGAGGAGGTTATATGTAGATCATTGTGATCAATTCCCTCTTTCTCCCCCACCTTCCCCTTCCCCTCCTGGTATCTCTACTCTCATCATTGGTCCTGAGGGGTTCATCTGTCCTGGATTCCCTGTGTTTCCAGCTCTTATCTGTACCAGTGTACATGCTCTTGTCTAGCTGGATTTGTAAGGTAGAACTGGGGTCACAATAATAGGGGGAGAGGGAGCATTGAAGAACTAGAAGAAAGTTGTATGTTTCATTAGTGCTCTACTGCACCCTGACTGGCTCATCTCCTTCTTGTGGCTCTTGTCTAAGGGGATGTCCAATTGTCTACAGATGGGGCTCCACTCTGCCCTCTACCTCATTCACATCGATAAGATTTTTTTGTTCTGGATCTTTGTTGCCTGATACCTGATCCCATCGACACCTCATGATTACACAGGTTGGTGTGCTCCTTTCCTGTGGGCTTTATTTCTTCTGCAGATGCCCTATCTTTTGATAGCCAGGCACCATCTGCTCTCTTCACCACATTTGCTTCTGCACCCATTTGTCTTCAGTGATCGTGTCAGAAAGGTGAGCATCACAGAATGCTGGGTTATTACCACAAAGTGTTCTTGCTTTGAGGGAGTACTTGAATAGAGATCCAGTGTCGATCTGCTACCTTAATACTTACTATATAAATACATGTACATAGATTTACTTCCTTATAGATAAATATATTTACATATGTCCATGCCTATATTTAGACCTCTATAAATGCCCTTTGCCTCCTAGTTCTTTCCTCTATTTCCTTTTACTTTCCTCTTGTCCCACTAGCATATTTCGCCTTCATTTGGGTTTCAGTAATTCCTCTCGGTTACACTGCACTTGATCAAACCCCATCAGGCATCCTACACCCTCCTTGCCATCGATTTTAGATCATTTGTTGTTCCTTGTCCCTGGGCTTGTTGGCACCCCTCTTCCTTTCCTCCATCTCCCCCTCTCCTGTGTAGCCCCAGAACCATTGGTCCTGTTGTTTTCTCCTTCAGATTGTTTATCCCACCTATCTTATTTAGCTAGACATGCAAAAAAAAATAATAAGTACAAAAGCAAAACAAAACAACAAGAAAAAAGAAAAGCCTATAAATAGTTCCAGGTCTGTTTGTTGATCTTTAGGAGTGTTTTCCGGTTGAATCTGATGGGGTGCCACACCCTGGGCCCAAAGTCTAATTTTGGCATTCCCCAGGAACTTCATTGCTTTGTTCCTCTTGCTGCGCTGATGCACACCCTTAGCGTTTTGCCCTGGTGTGGTGAGGACAGAGCAGGCCAGGGTGATTTTTTTTCCTCCTTTCGAAAAATTGTTTACTCTTTCCTAATGCTTTACTTATAGCGTATAGAAATGCAAAGTTTCCAAAATACACAATATCATACTAAGCAAAGACTGATGTTGCCAAGAATTTCCCTTTGCTTGAGTCAACCCTCCTGGAAGGAGTGGTCAAGAACTCAGACCACCCCCACATGGGGCACGAGATATCCCTTTGAGGACTAAGGTGCGCCTGCCGGAAGCCATGGGGTCTTCAATCGCCTCGTCCACACGGCAAAGCCAGACAGCCACTAACAAAGACGAAGAAGTGATGCATCGAATGATGGTGTTGGTGACGGCTAGGCCAGGTCCCAGGCCCTGCCAGCAGAAGCAGCACACCTGTCTGGGAGTGCAGCCCGGAGGCTCCTTCAGAGTGGATGTTTCAGCTCATGTCCTGTGGACATGTTCTCAAGAGACGCGAGTCCCTGGGAAAGGACCTCGTGTTCAGTAACTGGAGGGTCAGTGGAAAAGAGGAGGATGCTGGGTTGGCACAGTGGCTCCAGGAAGGGGTGCAAGCACAACGCTGGTGAAGACGGTGCCAGACCTGTATGTTGGTTGCTAGGAGACAGACACTCAATGACACTGACCAACAGCAACAGCCGAAGCCACTGTCCTTGAGTTGATCGCCTTGCAGAAAGGCCCTCGGGGACAGAGGAGAATGGCTTCTCAGGGCTTCTGAGCCTAGAAGTCTTTCCAGGGCCAGGTAGCCTCATTGCTGTCCTGCGGAGGGGCTCCGAGGTTTGAACAGCTGACCTTTGGGCTAGCAGCCCCACACTTAACTCTGTGTGTCACCAGGGTACCCTATTGGAAAATGAAGATTTGGGCCATTTTTTTCAAGCTCGTTTCCCCTCCGCGGATGCTAAGTCTGTCGCCATTCTGCTAAAGCCCCCTGAGCGCTGCAGGCTGTGGCCCCTGAGTGACCCCGACATGGGGAGGCCGCTCTGTGCCCGCTGATTCCTCCCCTTTCGTTCCCCAAGCTGCAGGCTGGGTATTTCAGGAGCCCGCTTGGAGTTCTAGCCTCCTGTCACCCGGTCATTTTCCAGAATGTTCCAGATTGTCCATGTCCCCTGCCTTCCTGCTGGAAAACTGAGGGAGTGGGCGGGAATTTTCCACACAGCTCCCTGCTGGGAGTGGGGGTGGGGAGGGGGGATGCCCCAGGCGTTGCCAGTGAGGCATTGTAGCTTGACCTGTTCAGAGCTGGCTTCATGGTGACGCTGTTGTCCCTGTCCGTCTTCTTGGATCCGAGACCCGGAAAAGGTGAGTCTCCAGCAAAACCGAGCCACCCACAAGCTGAGTCCCAGTCATAAATGAGCTAACTGTACACCCTCCAGGGCCACACCCTTTGGAGGAAGAAAAAACACTTTTATGCAAAAAAGTTTCCCTGGATGACATTGGGTGGGTATAAATACTTCTTAGCTGCCACTGTGGTCACTGCTTCTCAGTGAATTGGGACTGGGGTGCTGGAAACAGCATTTCTGGTTGGCAACCTCCCAGCCATCCCTGGTTCTTGATCCTGCAGGGAGAACGCAGGCGGAGGGAAGGTAAGTGGGCCTCATTTCTGAGGAGCTGCTGTTCTGAGAGGGCTCTGCTTCTTCCTTTAGGGGAAAACTCAGAAGAGCGGAGGGGTTCACACACACACACACACACACACACACACACACACACACACACAGACACACACACACACACACACACAGAAGCTGATGGCAAGTGTAGGTATAGAAATACCCACCTGAGGTCTGGCCATTGAACCAGAGCATCGTGTACAGATTTCTTCCCCCCAAATAATTGCTGTGCTTGCATTCTATGACAAGGGTAAAGCAATCTCCCTGGGAAGTTCAAGAGATCGCGAGGGAGGAGCGTTTACTGGAAATTTACACTGATTATTCTGTACGGTCCGGATAGCAAGTCCACTTCTTGGAAGAAATTCTGGTTAGCTCGATCGCATAGCACCCATTTTTGTGCGTGGAGAACAGCCTTTTGGTCCTAAACTCGACCCAGGTCTCAGATTGATAGAGCTGGAAGTTGAACCCAGAGTTGTGTGGCTTTAAAGTTGGTACCTGGGGACATCCCCACCAATGTCGAGCATTGTTTCTGGTGAGGGGGTTGGCTGTAGGCAAACTTGGGGCCAGCGCTGGGCCCCCTTTTACTGCCTTCGGTTCCAGGAAATGATTTCAGGTCTTGAGAGTTGAGGGCATTTCCCCACCAATAACTAATTCCGCAAGTGGGCAGGTGATACTTACTAATGGTGGAGGATGAACCCGTATTGAACATCTTCGAAAAACAGCAGCACAATTTGAGTGCTTTCGCCCTCCAATAAGAGGCATCAAGTAGCTGATTAACATGCTCGCTGCTTACCCAAAGTTTGGAGGTATGAGTACCCCTCTCCCCACCGCCCCAGAGGCACCTGGGAAGAAAGGTTTGGTGGTCTACTTATGAAATGTTGGCACTGCTCTGCTTGGATGCACACGGGGGCACCTAGAACAGCTGGTTTTCACAAGAAGCCCTACACAGGATGGTTGCAGGGGCCAGGCAGAGGGACCCAAGTTTCACTCACCACCAGGTTCCATGTGATCCTGTTTCAGGCCAGTGATGAGGCTCGCTGAGGGTCAGGAGCCTCCTATGCAGGAGGCTCATGGGGTACGTGTATCCTTGTTGGAGGGCAGTGCTGTCACGTTGTTCAGTTGGATTTGTAAAATGGAACTTGGGGTCCGTTGCTCCCCCCCCAAGCCCAACCCCAAAGTAGGAGCAGAGGTTGCAAAGCGTTGCTGTTCAAGGCTTCTGGTAGCTTCCATCTTGATCCTGTAATAAGCCGACCACCTTGAGGGGGCCCAGTTTTGAAAACTGTCCCTCAACCTTCCGTACCTGTCCTTCTTCCTCAGACTCATAGCGAGGAGCATCGGCGTGCGAATCCAGATCACCGACCTGCTTTGCCAAGCCGCCATGATGGCCTATCCCTGGAAGTTTCTGTTCAACCTCAAATCCAAAGAGTACGACCTGACTGAGCAAAGGGATCTCAACAACAACGTTGGGAAAACCGCCCCTCCAACCATCAGGTAAGCTTTCCCCTGCTGCCACTTCCTGTTCACCTTACCGCCCGCCCCTTCCTCTTCCGGAGCCACGGACTCAGGGTCTCTCTCTGCTTCTGGCCTCGTCTCTGCGGGCTCACCTCCCCAGCCACTGCTGGGCAGGCCCTGGTGGAGGTTAATGCAGCCCAACCTAGGGGGGCCCTCACTGGGCAAGGCATTATGTGAAGAAGGCAGGGACATGGCGCTCAAGGAACTTGGATCCTCAGGGAGAATGTGGGCAGAGACCTGGAGGGAGGATGGGAGGCCGGAGGACCTAGGGGCTAGAACAAGGATGGGGTTCTGGCTTCCGTTCCGCGTCACCAGGGCCCACACCGCACCGCTTGCTAGATCTGTTGAACATCCTCCCCGTGAAAAGCTCCAGCCGGTGAGTTAGCAACGCTGGAGTTGAGTCCTGTGCTGAGCCTCACTGGCTGACCCTGTGTTGTGTTGTCTTGTCTTCCACCAACTGTGTGATCTAGGGTGAGTTTCCCTCTGTGAGCCTCAGATGGGTCCACCCGTGGTAGCATTGCGTGTGGGTGAGGCACTCAGCCACATGCCTGGCACTCTGTAGGCAGTGGGTCAATGCCAGCGTCAGGCACTATCACCTCGAGCGGGTACCCGCTCTGTGGCAGGGCCCGGCACACTCATCACATCTCTGTGGATGTCGCAGCTGCCCCGCAGTTCATTTTACAGACTAGGAAGTAGGAGTCCTGGCCGAGTAAGGACTTCTCTGCGGCCATGTGACTGGTAATGAACAAGTGGAACCTGGACCCTCAGATTTGGGCTTTTCACGCTCCCCGACACCTGGCTTGTAGGAGAGGCAAGTGTGAGGTGGGCAAGCTTCAGCAACACTGAGGAATTCCCATCGTCTGCCGGCCGTTGGCTTGCACAAGTGGAAATACGAGTCAGTCTGTCAAAACGGGACAGCATCAATCAGACCCCAGCCCTGTGAGCAGCATCTCCGGATGAGGCGGTCTGTTCTGTAAAGATCTGCAACCTCTGAAACTAACAGTGACTGCTCTTCTCTGCCCAAAAGGGAGCTGAGGGGTCAGAATCATCCACTCCTTAGCAACGTTTCTTTGTTGTGGTGGCTGGTTTTGCTTTTTGGTGGCCTAAGGAGTTATACATTGGGCTGCTCACCACGTGGTCAGCAGTTCGAAACCACCAGCTGCTCCCAGGGAGACAGATGGGGCTTTCTTTCTACACTTGGAAAAGTTTACACTCTCTGAGTCCCACAGGGGCAGTTCTACTTTGTCTACGAGGCGATGATGAGTTGAATCGACTCGACGACGGCACTGGGCTTGAGGGGCTGTTGCTTTGATGGAATCGCCCCACCACCCCCCACCCCCCGCCACTCAGTGGTGGGAAGCACATCAACCCTGAGTGTACCTGTCAGTATTCACTGCTATCCAGTCAGTTCTGGCTCAGAGAGACCTGTAACAGGTAGGACTGGCCCTGTGAGTTTCCCAGCCTGTAACTCCTTATGGGAACAGAAAGCCTCATCTTCCTCCCTTGGAGCAGCTAGTGGGTTCGAACTGCTGACCTCGTGGTTGGCAGCCCAACGTGTATCCCACTATGCCACCAGCACTCCTCGTGTGCCTGTCATAGGCAACAGAATAGTGTGCAGTGGTTGTCAACCTTCCTAATGCCGCGACCCTTTAATACAGTTCCTCATGTGGTGGGGACCCCCCAACCATAAAATTATTTTCACTGCTACTTCATGACTGTCATTTTGCTACTGTGATGAATCGGGCGACCCCTATGAAAGGGTGTTCGACCCTCAAAAGGGGTCGCGACCCACAGGTTGAGAACTGCTGGTGTCATGGCTACCGAAGAGGCTTGAGTGAAACCAAATGGTGTTGCCACTTAAAAGCTCTAGGACCTTGACAACTCCCCTAAGCCCCGAGCCTCAGTTTCCTCATCTGTAGGTACAGGGCACCCCAAATTCATTGCCATCAAGTCGATTCCAACTCTTAGAGTAAGCCCATAGGGTAGACTAGAACTGTCCCAGTGGATTTCAGAGGCTGGACCTAGTTACAGGATCAGAAAGCCTCATCTTTCTCCAGGAGAGTGACTGGGATTTGAACTGAAACCCTACGTATAACCCATCCCGCCAGCAGGGATCTGTGTAGGAAGGCGTCTTTCCTGGGGCTGTGGGAAGAGCGAATGAACAACGTGTGTGTCTAAAGCACAGCACGGCGAAGCTGCAGCTGTCACGCTGCTCCTGGAGCAGGGTGGGCGGACTGAAGCCGACTCTCCGGAGCTTGGGTCGGGTGGGGTCTGGTTAGGCAAGGCCAGGCCAGAGCCCTGGGGGCTTGACTGCAGAGGAGGAGATTCGACTTGCTCTATGAGGCAGTGAAGAGCCTGGTAGATTCTTGAGCAAAGTGGACGGAGCATGGGGCGTGGGACACACTGGAGGAGAGAGTGGTGGGAACCAGGCTGTAGTTGGTAAGGTGGGTAAGAGACAGAGAGATGCGAGCACACCAGGTTAAATGGCTGGTAGAGTCTGCTGGCACTCAGACGCCACGCTGCTTCCTTACTCCTCCTGGGGTCTCAGAAGGGCCTGACTGCCCCTCCTGAGCCCGCACGTCCACTTCACTCACGCAGGCCCATGACTCTTGCTTTTCGTCACCTCACTGCTTCAGCCCCTGCCTGCTAGCTTCTCAGCTCCAGCCCCGGGCTCCGTCTGTCCCTTTCTTCCTCCAAGTCGCTGGTCAGCAAGCCATGCTCCTGCTGGAGAGTTTACAGGGACTCCCCATTGCCTGCCACTCCGCTGCAGCTCGCCTGGAGGGTGCTATGCGGTGGCACTGCAGCGGAGGGGATGGGCGCGTTGTCATACAGAAAGCGCCTCACCTGTCCAGCCCAGCCACGCTCAGTTTCCCAGCGCCTGTAAGGCATGCTTCTCAATTTGACTCAGCTAACCGATCCGTCCTTCATCATTATGGGCCCTCCTGAGCCCTCCCTCTTCCCTGCATCGTTAGAGGGTGGTCCGAAGCCTTTAGCCCGTCATCCCACACCCTCTGATTGCACTGACGATCTTCCTGAGGACTAAGCTTATCTTTTGGGGTCATCCAGGCCCACACTGCCACACTCTGTGGGCTGTCCCCCAGGGTCTGTTTTGTGCCGAGCTGTGAAGGGGATGCTGAAGAGACCCCGCTCCTTCTGCCAGACAGGAAGTGGGCGGGATGGACGCCCACCTCACTGGTGCGGGGCGGAGGGGACAGCATGAGATGTGGGAAAGTTCTATAAACTGATGGGGTGGCAGTTAGGGGACAGGAGACTGGAGGTGTGGTGGGCGTGGTGGTCGAGGTCCTGGGGTGCCCAGTCCAGCTGCAGAGCTGGGAGGGGTGGGTCAGAGAAGGTCAGCTCAGCCGGACTTTGATGAGCGAGTCAGAGGGGGTGGGGAGGCTGTTACTGGAAGAGGAAGCCACAGTACAAAGGGGATTTTATCCTGAAAGCCATGGGGAGCCAAGGAATATATTTTGATTTTTAAAAGCCGCTTTCAAATCCATGTAGGTCTCATCAGACCAAGATGGATGCATGAATCTACGCTGTATGTAAACAAACCACTAGGAAGTGTGTGGAGGGTGTGTGCGTGTGTGTTTTAGAAACCAGGACAAATGTGGGAACATCGAGGTGGAGACTTAGGGAATTTGGAACAAAGTGGAGCTAAGTGTTATCAGCTGGGTTGTAATGGAATCCGACAAATTGGAAAACTTGCATATTCCGCTTCCATGTGCGTCGGGATTAAATATGCCCGAATATGCAGTGACCGACCGGGAAGGACCCTACCCTCTGAGGGCAAGGGCAACAGCCTTGCCCCTATAGCTGGACCCTCAGTGTCAGCCTGCTCAGAAAGCAAGGGGCAACTCACAGTCTCGCCTCTTCAGGTAGCACGGGCCAGGGAACAAGAGAGCTGGGGGGCAGATGGGGCAGTGCGGGGACTTACGGGCTTCTGATCCCTCTCCCAGGTCTCCCATCAAAAGTTCCCCCGAAAGTGACAGGGAAGACAGATTGCCTGACCCTCTGCTGGCTTCCTTTGTAGATTTGCACAGAACCCACCGAAAAGAAACAGCCCTTCCTGGGGTAGTCCTGAGAGGTGGAGTGAGGTTGGGCTGTGGCCCTGGGCAGGCCTGGGGCTGCTGTGTGGCCTTGGGGAAGACCCCTGACCTCTCTGGGCCCCAGCTTCCTCCTCACCTCAAGGAGGGTCATACTATAAAACTGCCTTCCTGACAGGGTTCGTTAAGGAGGAAATAAATAACGGACAGGAAGGCTCGTGGATAAACAGTAAAACAGTGTACAGTGGGCTCGGTGGAGACGGACCGCTGTTCTTTCACGGGAGCAAACAAACCCGAGGCCATACAGCCCCGAGGCTCCTAACTGTGTGCCAAAGCCCAGTGGCTTCAAGCGACAAACTTCCCTGTGGATGCCCGCTGGGGGCCCTGGGGGGCTGGGGCGCCCCGGGGGAGCTGCAGGGTCCCGTGGTGGTCAGGTGGCCGCCTGCAGGGCTGCGTCCCCGGCCCCGCCCCGGGGCGCGGGCGGGAAGAGATAAAGGGGCCGGCGGCGGCCGAGAGAGCCAGCGAGCAGGGGCGCCCCGTTTGCTGCGCCGGCCGGGCCATGCGCGAGGGGCTGGGCGCCGCGTGCGAGGCCGTGCGGCCCCGGCTCTGCCGGCTCCTGCGCAGGATCCTCCGGCCGCAGCCCGCCTGCAGCCGAGCCAGGTACTCCCGCGCGCCGGGCGCCGGGCTCTGCCCTGGGAGGGTGCAGGGGCTCCCCGCGGGCACTCGGGCTCAAAGCTCCGCAGCAGCGGGCGGGCGGGCTGGCCCCGAACTCTCCTCGGAGCTGCGGTTTTCCGTGTCAATGTGAGGGTTGGGAGAGTCACCTGCAGCACTCCGGTGCGGGTTTGCCTCGTTCAGAACGCGCTTGCTTAGCTGCAGAGAGTCACCCCTCACTCCTGGTGCGCCCCGGCTCTAGAGCTGGATGTTACTGCTAGTGCCCCTGGGGGTGGGGGTGGTGCTGCGGGCCACTGTGTGTGGCCAGTGTCTCCAACCTAGAGGGCTCATCTGCTCTATAGCTGATAACATTCTGTTGTGACCCCTAGAGTTTTTCTGGGCAGTGGATTGCCAGGACTGTCTTCCTAGTCTTAGTCTGCAGCGCTGCTGAAATTTACCTGTCGTGGGGTGACCCCGCGGGTATTAGAAATACGGGGGGCCTAACTGCCAGCATCCTAGCAGCACGCAGGCCACGACCACACAGAGCCACAAACTGGAAGCCCAGTGGTTCTTAGAACCCACGTGAGAGTGTAATTCAGTGGCCGCAAATGGTCTAGAGAGGCATGCTTTCACCTGTGGGGACTGGGTGGGGACTGTGGATGTTTCAGGACTTGGAAGCTATGTGCAGAGGAATTTTCAGCACCTAGCTGCCCTATTTTTAGGATAGTTCTGGTTAAGAGAGCAAAGAAGTTCTTGTTAGACAAAACAAGGCCCGTTTTGCAGCGCCCCTACCCCCACCCCCCACTTCCTGGATGTATGGTGGTTGGAGAGCGTGGAAGGCACCACAGGGGAAGCAGGCCTCCAGGTCCCCAGCAAGCCAACCTCTGCCCCTCAAAGGCTGATGCGTGCTTTGGGGGCTAAGTTGCCCACCTTTCCATGGCACGTCTTCAAGGATTCCCCACCTCTGGGAAGGGCCAGGCAGGACGGAGTGTCTAGAATAAACAGTGCAATCCCCTGCAACAGGCATCCAGGTCTTTGATATGCACACCTGGAGTCTGTGCACCACCTCTCCCAGCAGCTAGGCATTGGCCAACTGGGGCCATGGTAAAGGCTGCAAGAGTGTGTGTGAGACGACTTTGTTTATTCATTACTCAAGTTATTAAAAAATGACCAATTATGAAAGTAATTCGCGCTTGCTGTAAAAAGTTGCCAGGTGTAAAAAGTTGCAAGATGTAAAAATGTGTTAACAATAACAAATCTAAACTCACCGCCACCCACTCGAGTCTGACTCAGAGTGACCCTGGGGGACAGCGTAGAACTGGTTCTTTGGGTTTCCAAGTCTGGTGATTTCGAACGGCTGACCTTGCCATCAGCAACCCAGCACGTCGCCCAGGGCTCCTTTGAAAGGTGTACAGCACAATCCAAATTCGCTGATGGTGCTAGCGAGGAGTGACATTTCCTCTCAGACTTTTTTATATGCCTGCACACACACACACACACACACACACACACACACAAGCTTCAGGCCATTTATCTATACAAATTTGAGGCCAATGTGGCACACCTGTAGGGTGGATTTTCAGGCAGCTTTTAAGTGCTTTATAATATTTGCGGGGAATGGTTCCGGCGAATTTTTAAGGACACTGAGATGTAGTAAGCTTTTGAAATGCTCCGGCCTCCAGAGGTAGGGGGCGATGGTGAAAGAGAGGTATGCCTCATTGGGGACCCAAGCCCCTCCAACAACTTCCTGTTTAAGCAGCCCCTGCTGACCACTGAGCCATGCCTCACCGGCCTCTGAACGTCTGAGGTATTCTATGTCGGCATTTTTCCTGGTGAGCACCCCAGACCAGACCAGAGGGCTGATGGTGGACGGGTCGCGTGGTGGCCCTTAACAAAACTGCTGAATCACTTGATTGTGATAAGTTGCCTTTGTGATTTCTATTTATGTTCTGTTACGGGACTTGCCTCTTTTAGAGTTGCACACCATATCACGCTACTATGTAGTAGACATAGTTCCCAGCCGCTGCTAAGGCTCCCGTTCTTACGCACAGCGACTCTGTACCCTTGTAGGACAGAGTAGAATTGCTCCCATTGAGCTCCCAAGGCCCTTCAGCTTTACCAAAGCCGACCTCCCCATCTCTCTCCCTTGGAGCAGCTGTGCGTCTGAACAGCTGGCCTTCAGTTCGCAGCCAGTGCTCCCCCCCTTCCCGACTTTTTGAGGAGGGGTCGGCAGAGAGCCATTGAAAAAGAGAGAGATCCTCAATGACATGGATTGGCACACTGGCTACAACCATGTGACAACAACCATACACTGTTAATAATGTAATGCCCCTGTAGATAATAATATCATGTCCCCATAGACAGTCCACTACTTTTTCTGATTAAAAAACAAAGCCCTGTGTGCTCATTCATTACAACCCAATTGGTATAAAGTATAACGGGAGAGATCCTTGAGCCCCATTGCCTCCAGCACACCCAAACGCGCGCGCGCGCACGCGCGCATACACACACACACACACACACACACACACCCAGGAAATGTTGCAAGGAAAATGGAGCCCAACCCAAGCTTTCCAACTCGTATAAAGCCTCCGTCCCATTTCCCCCAGCACACACACACACACACACACCCAGCACACGCAAACACAGCAAGGAAAATGGAGCCCAACCCAAGCTTTCCAAC